TATATATATATATATATATATATATATCACGATGAGGTCCTATAATCTTATATAAACCAACCCGGATCTCAACTTAAATAAGATTAGTAGTGGATTTTTTTATTTTTATTTTTTAAAACTAGTCAAGGTCATAATTACTTTTTAATGTATGAGTTATTTTTTACTATTGCTATTTGTTGGAGCTCCATTATTGATATAACTGAAATCCTAACACAATCAAAGGACTTAAGATTAATCCTGTTTTTTTTTACATGGAAGAAATGATAGCATTGGATTGAAGCAACCAGGCTATGGGCCATGACTTGGGAGGACTTGTCAGGTATACTTAACAAAACATTTTATTCAGTCAATTTCAAAGAGAGAGGAAAAAAAAAAAAAGACAGAAACATAAGTGGATGGTAAGGAATGTTGATTTGTTTGACAAAGACAAGGTGGTGTGGTAGCTTGACTTAGTGGTTTGTGGAGGTTTTTCCAATTGCCAACCAATCCTCTTAAGTTTGATGACCAAAACTAATGCATCATAATGAAATTTCAGGACACACTACTAAAACTAGAGAATCCAGGAAAATATATAGTATCTGTAACAGTGACCTTGGTTTCATACTTATCTAAGTTATGGCTTCTCACAACACACCCCACACTATATTTTATACATAATATCAAGCTTCAAATATTGCTTTTTTGGGAAAGTTGGGTCTTCTTAGTTAACTAAGAATGCCTTTCACAAGCCACAAATTTAATTAGAACCACTTAATGAAAGAATGAAAATTATTAAAGAACTAGTCAACATAAAATTGAACTAAAAACATATTTGAGTTCACCCTCCCATAACTACTAGTAAAGGTTAGATTCATTTTTACACTATTTTGTGAACATACCAATTAGCCCTCACTTTCATGAAAGTTACAGCACCCCAACTTGGTTGTATCCAAAGTACATAAGATACCTTATCTAAGCTTTAGATGAAGAGACATGAAAATTCCCATACCAAAAGCATCTTTCACGTGAAGACTAGCTCCAGTTCATGGGTACAAGGTATTTGTGTCAGCCTCCTACCACCTCCCTGCTCATGAAGGCATCTATTTGTTTCCAATCCATTATAATTATAAAAGCAGCTTGAGTTTGTATTTCAATCCTTTCTAAAGGATGGAATCTTTTAGATATGAAAACGAAGGTTAATTGGTAACACTTTTTCTGTATACATTTTTATTGTTAAATAACATTTATGTAAATTTAAATGAATAAATAGTTGCCCCACCTCTATGTGGAGGATTTATATGAAAAATTAAGTCTATCTAAACTTATCTCATTCAATAACTTACCTTCTATATCAAATTTCAACAATTCAACCGTTGAATTTAATATTTTTAATATGTAGATCAAGTTTACAAATTTTTTAAAAATTTGAAAATATTTAAATTAATATAATGAAATATCAAATAATTTTTAAATTTTTTAAAAATTTATAAACTTAAATTATGTATTAAAAACTTTAAATTCAACCGTTGAATCATTGAGATTTGATATAAAATATGAATTATTTAATAAAATAAGTTCCAAAGTAAATGAATCTCTTCTTTTATATATATATAAAAATATATATATATATATATATATATATATATATATATTAAAAAGAGTATATCATCATATAATGCTGATAATTCACCAAGTTGCAACGAATATTTAAGCTTTCGAGTTTTGGTGTCCTTGTCCCTTTGAGGACCTTGCAAGATGGTTATATTCTTACTCTCCTAACGTATCTTATGTACTTTTTAGAATATTAAGGGTAATTTCACTTTAATTAAATAAAACTAAAAAGAATTTTTTTCTTTTTTTTTTTTGGCTGAGAAGAATGCAATATTAAAACTACTAGTAATGTAATCAGATCAAGGTATTGTGCATATCAAGTTATTACTTATTTAGTTGATCATGGTTCTGATAAATAGAATCAAGAACTTGTTTTTCACTAATAACTTGTTTCACATAAGGAACTGGTATATGATTTGTCAAATTTTTTTCAACAAATCAAAGGTACTTTATGAAGCTTAATCAAGAATTAATGGGAGTCATTGGCTAAGGTTTTTCAATTGTGTATATTTCACACGGATAAGGTGATATCTCTACTTTTCTTCATTTGTATGTTGTTCTTAAGAAGGTTTCTTCTTATGGTTCTCTTGTATAAGGTTCCTACAAGTGATCAAGGTGTTTTTGAGGGTTTAAAAAAACATTGGGTTTTTATGTTTATCTTTATTCTGTGTACAATTGTGTTTATAAAAGAACAAATTGCTGATAGTGAAAAATATCAACTGATTTAGTTGAAGACTGAATGTAGATCACATTTAGTGTGCTTCTCTTTATCTCTCTCAACTTTACATTCTTGACATTGCAATAAGTTATTTATCTAGAGAGAATCATACACAACTTTAGATTCTTTTTCAAGTTTTCCTTCCAAAGGCACAAATAGATCAACAATATATGGCCACAAGATCAATCTGTGAGCATCATAAACCTTTCAACATTTCCATTAACAAATTTCCATTCCACTTTGACGCCGTCATCTCAATGTTGTCATAAATAACTGATTTATTGGCCTAAAAGTTGTTTGAAAACCCATTATAAATCCTCGTTGAACCACACTAAAATCATAGTCCGAAAACTTTGAACTCTGCAGATTCTAAATATGGATTCCGCATAATTACTCATACCTGATTTGATTTCAAAAACTAGTGCAGCATCATCTGCACCAAAAAACCGAAATACTATTCTATAAAACATTGCACAATAGAATAATTCATATCCTAAAGAAATTTAGCAATGCTATCAATCAGCATAGCAATTCAAATACCTTTGAATCACAATAACCTTGAAATGTGATTTTGTCAGCAATGGGAAAAACCTTTTTTCCCAGAACGAGAGATAACAATAAGATTGTATAATTTCCTAAATGATTTCGGCTTATATTTTGGATTAGTGAGTGTCACCACTTGCAATAGAGGATAATGTTCCCAATTAAGGAATTAAACTGTTGAACAAGAATAACGAACATTACAAGTAATGCTTCAACCATGTTAAATATAGTTAATATACGTAGAATAATACAGTTTTTAATTCTTCTCGCAGATACTCGATAATACAGTGAAGTCCCTGCTCTCTAATTATCTTTGCACCCAAAATTAGGAATATACAACTAGAATAATTCAGAGGATGGATACAAAATATTCAAGAAAGCCTTCATTTTGCAACTATTGCAGTGACTCGGTAAAAGAATATGTGGAAGTACAGAAATCAAACAAGTTCTAGAAACAGGTGTATAGCACAATCTGGCCAGGAAAACTCCTTAAAAACCTTCTCCAACCACGATCATTAATGTATTATCAGCCTTTTTCATTCGACTGAATCACTATTGAAGTTAATATCTTCAGTTTTCATCGCATCCTGCTCCTTTGTCTCGTCACCTATTTCAGGAAAATCTTTGTCTTCTATAATATACGGGTCAACCAATTTCCAGAACCAAGTTGAATTGCTTCCCAGAATACCAATCCAAAATACTCTTCCTTTCCTCTTGACTTTACAATCCATGGACATGGCTTTAAACTTTTTGACAATGTTCTCAACACCTTCACGACTTCCCTTTATTTTCAGCAAAATATCCCCTGATGAATTTCGATGGCCCCCATACATGTACCAGTATGCAAGAACACACGGTGACAACCACCTATGGACTAGTTTCGGAATCGTAGGTTCACCTTTTGACCAAAACTGATCTGCATAGAAACCAAAATGAGAGCTTGCAATGGTGCAAAACTTATCTGGTATGTTCTCGCTGTTATCACTTGGCTTACAAGTTGGATGCAGCCACTCATAAAACTGGCGATATATATGACTCTTCAGAACATAATGGCTACCAGAATTCCCATCAAAATCAAAACGAATAATGTGGTTCCTCCTTTGTTCATCAGAATCAATCCGCAAACCACCTAAAAGCAACCCAATCAAGATTTCTCTCTGCTCTTTGCTTAGCTTCAGGTTTATTGGTCTTTTAATAACTTTCCTTTTCAAGCTCATGATATAGTCAAGCTTTTCCATTAATGGGGATTCAATTTCAAACTTCTTTAGACACATAAAGTCATAGATCTTCTCTGCCTTTAAGTGATTTCCTGAAGACAGGTATCCACTTAAAATGATGTTACATGAGCGAGCATTAACACCAATAGAGGCATCACGATTCATTTGGCCAAATACATCCTCGGCCTTGTCAATATTACCTATTTTCACCAAAGAATTCAGATATATACTGTATATAGTACAATTAGGACGACATTTCTCCATGCACTGGATGAATGCCTCTTCCAATTTTTCATGTAATTCCAAATTGTAGTACATGTTTAGTAAATAAACATACGATGGCGTAAGGGGCTTCAGACCACTCTTGACAAAATCTGCCATGATTGATTCTGCCAATTCTGATTCTTTTGCTTTGCATAGTATCTCTATTATTTGACTATATGCTGCAACATCTGTTTCACCTAGTTTTGACTGCATTTCCCTAAATATATCCAATGACTTCATATGCATGCCAACCTTTGAGTAGACTTCCATTTTATAAACAAAAGTCAGAGCTGGGGGATCACTTTCAAACTTGAGAAGTTTGACCCATGTTTTCTCTGCTTCCTCCACTTCCCCTTCCCTTGCACAAGCCCTCAAGATTGACACTAGCACCTCTCTATCCTCCTCAATTCCAGCACGTAGCATTGCTTCCCTCAATTCTGCTATCCTTTCTTTATCTATGGAATCCTGATAGGTATGCAACCAAATTAGGCCCCCATAAATATCTTTACGCACATCAAGTCCAGTTGTAACCAAATGATGGTATATAAACTCAGCTTGCTTAAGGTAATTCTTTGACAACATCCCTGGACTGCTTACAAGAGCTTTGAAGAGGGAATTATGCAAGCTAAGACGGGGCTGGTAACCACCCAACTGAATCATACGATTGTAGATGCTGCATGCTTCATCCAGACAACCTTGAACAGGAGCACTAAGATAAGCAACGACTAATATATGGAATGTTGACTCACTAGGAACACGGCCTTGATTGATAATATCATCAAATACCTCACGACACTTTGAAAACTTTCGCTCTTTACCCATGTAATCTGCTAGCTTGGTAGCAAGAGCAAAATCAAATCGATACCAATTTCGTTGCATCATCCACTTGTATACCTTACGGAAGGACAAAAGAAATCAAATTTGTGAACAAACCTAGTAGCTCATGGAGAGATTTTGTAAGATGTTCTGGTTATGTAATCAAGCAAATAACTATTTACAGCCAAATACCAATTCCAAGCAATAAAACCAATTCACAGGAAGGAAGAGGACTGACTTAATAAAACAACATTTTTTAAGGTTCAAACAATTCCATAATGAATAACAATACAAAACTAGCAACAGGGAAGCTTTGCACCATTCAATATTCCACACCAAATTTATATAGCCAACAAGACCACAACAAATTTTCATCTTATTACGCCTTTATTCACAACGCTCCAGAAACAGACACATCACCTAATGATTAACCAATATCAGCAAAAGCTTTCCCTGAATCCATAGTAAACTACAGCTAACGCCCAGTTTCAAAGCACTGGAACTTCTCAAAATGTAAATTTCACAAATTTCTAAAACAACATTGTCAATCCATAACAATTTACACCACTTCATGCACAACACAAAATAGCCAATTTGTAATGAATTTAATTTATATATAACTATGAAGCACTAATACTTCAATTTGCTTTACATATCTGTATCCGATACGATATTCTTAGATACTTCATCAATATGTATTTGTGAAGTACCCCAACCTTTAAAAATATTATGAAAATTTTATTCAATCCTGATACTCTCGGATACATCATTGATATTTATTGGTGATTCGTATCGATAAAGTATCCAAATTTTTAATAAATTATGAAAGATCCATTATAGCTAAATAAGACATATAAACATATTTAATATAGAAACATAGAAACATTGGCCCTTGATGAACTCTAAATAAAAATTGTCTTCTATATAGATAATTTTAAGAAAGAAATGAAATTGGTAATATTATTTCTATGGTAAATAATAAAAAGTAATTTATGAGGAAATGGTTTATAATTTATTTGTTTTTAGTAATGTACAATAAGTATGTTTTTAATTTGAATTTGCAAAATAACAATTATATATTTATATATTTAATGTTTACAAATTTTGATCAAAATTACAATTACACATTATATTTCATGAATATTGATATATATGATAATATGTATCTTACACATATTATATCATATATATATTTTAAAATAATCGTATCGTTGTATTGGATACTGCTCTTATTGTATCGATGCATCATAGATATGCACAATCCACCTAACCTTCTTTACACATATATCCAATAAGACATGACCACTTTACGACATCATCATATTCATCAAAATGATATGACAACAAGGTGAACTCCTATAACACATCTGTGTAAAAATAAAGTTTTACTATTACATAACAGTGTAAAAAAAAAAGTTTTACAATGACAGTGTATATAAATTAAGGGCCATGCAAATCAATGTCTTTAGGACATTGGTTAATGAAATGAATCAATATGTATAAAATTTTCATTGAAAACTACTTCCTTCGTCTTAGGTTATTTTACACAGACAAAATAAAACTTATAAATAGATGAAAGTAAATAATAATTTTACAAAATTAACCTTATGATTTTTTTTTCTTGAAATGATACAACACAAAAATCACTTTCTACATAATATTATTAGGGATATAAATAAAAAAGAGATAATTAATACTGCAATGAAAAGTTAGCATGAGACTTATTTTTTCTTCTAATGAAACACTTATTATGAGAGGGAGGAAGTACAATAAAGCTATACCAGAAATTGTGCAAATACACTTTTCAATAAATAATAAATAAAAAAAATTATACTTTCGATATCAATGCCTTAACTTAAGGACTCTTGTTAACATTTTCCATAAGTTGAACTCGTTACTCTTTGGTAGAGTAGTATTAAAAGACTGTTTGGATCACCTTCTCAATAAACATGGCTAAAAAATGAAATAACCTTCTTTCATAAGCAAAAACTAACTAATCTAAAGAAGCCAATACAAGTTAGATTGTGTTTGGATAAGCTTCTCCACAAAAGAGAAAATAAGAAGAAAAATTAAAATAAGTTTCTCGAAATGCATGAGTTATTTTTCAGTGTTTATGGAAAAATTAACGGAAACAGATCCTATAAGAGAAATTGTAGGTAATGAGGAAGAGGAAGATTTACTCTAAACGCAGTTTCGTTCTCGCGAACGCGCAAGCAATGGACGAGGACGTAGGTGGCGTCTTCCTGCGTCATCCACTTCTTCTGCGCGTTGAGTATCCTGACGAGAGTCCCAGCCTTGTGCGCGGGAAGCTCCTTGCAGAGCCATGCCACTCTGGCTCTCCGCCACTCCTCCGCCACCTCGCTCAGCTCCGCCACCTCCAGCTGCGGCCCCCGCAGCTGCCTCGCCTCCGCCTCCGCCGACCGGAGAGCCTCTCTGTCCGCCGCGGTGACGGCCAGGCGCGGCAACTGGCGGCGGAGATGGTAGAGGGAGAGGGGGAGGGAGCGGAAGAGAGCGACGGTGGGATTGGGGTTGGGATTTAGGGAGAGAAGGCCTTGACGTGTCACTGATTTCACCACCATGCTGCAATGTTGTGCTTCACTCTCATCATCTTCTCTTTCAAACTCAAGCTCAGGATGGGATTGGAAAGTTTTTTGTTTTTCTTAACTATTGGGCCTGTTCGGTGGTTATGCCTCACCCAAGAGAGATCCTGGGCCTTTACTCTTTGTCTCAGGCCCGTTAAAAGCTTAGTGACGTCACGTGAGACATAAGACGAAAGTATGCTTGAATATAAGTTAGAAACAAACATCTTTCAGACCTTCACCATTGAAAATAAAACATTATTTCTAGTAAAAAAAACACTCTCAAAAACATTTATAAACTTCTATCTAAACAAATTCAAACTCCATCTTTCTTTGATCACTTCTCTTTCACTTCCCATTTGTATAATTTGTTTGCTTCAAAATTGAGAATACGTTATTTAGAATTTGTTTGCATACAAGTTTGAAAATGTTTTTGAAAATATTTTATTCAAAAATATTATTTATTTCTATTAGAGAAACTTTCAAAAACATTTATAACTTGTATTCAAACAGACTCTTATAATAAAAAAATTAGGTGATCCAATGCTCTCATAATTAAAATAAATATTCCACAGTTAACGTCACATTTTGTGTATATAGATTAGTCTAATATTTTGACCATGTTCATAAATAAAAAATAAATAAATAAGTTAGAAATAAGGAGTTATTATGTGTAGGGGAAAAATGAATGAATTATGATAATTACATATTTTTTACTTAAATATTTGTTATCATCATTTTAAAGTTGAATTAGAATTTTAAAGCTTCCTTCCCCTTAACTCAAGAACATAATCTCAACAATTTTCTCCCTCCCAATTTCTTATTCTTAGGAATTTTAATTGAGATAAGAGAATCTTAATTGTAGCTTATATCGATTATATGAGCGTGGTGATGATTGTTTTGAGTTGAATTGGTAGATGAAAGTTGAGATTGTTGAGATTCATGTTCTTTAGTTTTAGGGTTTGGAGAGAGATAAAGAAGTGATGTTGATCATGGGTTATTTTGTTGTTACATGTTAGGGTTTTATGGATAATTTTTAAAAACAATTTTAATAAAAAGAAGAACCCATGAGTAGAACAATTCATTTTCATGATCATATATTGCCTAGAACCATATTAAGGTTTTAGGTTTTACTTTTGAAATGTGTTTTATGCCTTTTGTAGTGCCCTCTATACAATTGAAAGAAGAACACATTCTTCCTCTTTAATCAACCTAAGCACCAAAGAGGATGGTTCCTTTACTTAGTCCACACGAGCATGAGGAGAGCAAAGTTTTGGTATTGTCATAGATAGACAAGTTTAAGGTTTTATGCCTCTCAAAAAACCCTCAGAGACTTCTCTCTAACTCTCTCTCTCTTAGAAAGATGTGTATAATATGATTAGGTTAACCTGTTTATCTATAGACTATAATTGATCTAATATGTCTCCTTGTTTGTACTACAAAAAAAACGTAAATTTCTTACGGACATAATCTATCGGTAAAAAGGAATATCTGTCGAAAATATAGAATTTTCGACGGATGCAAATCCGTCGAAAAAGGGGCGTAAAAAAAAAAATCAATCAGAAAATTTCTTTATGTGATTTATCCATTATAAAATTTCTCTTTCCATTTTAATAAATTTATTAATGTAACACCCTTCATATTTAACCTCTCAAGTGTTTCATTTCATGACACTTCACTTTTCAGCGTATTTTGTCCTTACTTGCAAAATTTTTGGGAAACTTTCTCAACTATATAATCTCATACTTGTACTATCTCTAGATCTTTCTCATTCCAGTGTGTCTGGACTGTTATAAAAATATAATAATATAATAATTATATTACCAATGATAATAATTATATTAAATTTAATTAATCTTTATTTGTATATATACTTACTTTTATAATTAACAATCTACTTATTTCTATTTAAAATTAATATTATGATATAATTTAAGTTATTTATTATAAATTTAAAAGTTTAAATAATAATTTACATATTTTAAAATGA